CATTGGTGAGCTCCCCAACTTCGACTATGGCCCCACGCGGGGTCCCGCCAATTGGCAGTCTATCTCCCGAGACAACATTCTTTGTGCAACTGGATTGCAACAATCTCCCATCAACCTAGACCGGTCTATCCCCATTGAGCCCGCTGGTTTTCTCCGTTCGAACATTCCAAGACAAGATGTCCTCTTCCAGAATCTCGGAACAACCGCAGAGGTCGTGTTGAAGGGGACCACCCTGGTTGGCGGAGTAGGTGAATTTCAATTGGAGCAATTCCACTTTCACACGCCAAGTGAACATCGGATCCTTGGGCAGCATTTCCCCTTGGAACTGCATCTGGTTCATTCGCAGATCGGTATGTTTTGCTTTCGTTCCCTCAACGATGAAAAGCAGTACTAAGTTCTCCCAGGCAATCCATCGCAGATTGCTGTTGTTGTCCTTCTGTTCCAGGTGACTGGTCGCCGGGGGTTCTCCGACATCGAACGTGTCATTTTCCAATCTTCACGCATCGGCAGGCCTGGTCAACAAGTCGGACTTCGTGGCTTCGACTTCAGTCAGCTCTCTCGCACTATTTCCTCTGTGCCAATGTTCAGATACACCGGAAGCCTGACTACTCCTCCTTGCACGGAAGGCGTGGTCTTCCTCATCGCGACGCAGCCGCTCTTTATCAACGTCGATTCCTTCAACTTACTTAAAGGTGTTACCCGGTTCAATTCTCGATTCCTGCAGCAAACTATTCCAGCTAAACAAAACATTCTCTTGTCGGGAATGCACAATATCGGCCTTACCACGCAAAATTGCGCAAGCCTTGTAAATGGTATTGAGCTTATTGGCCAGCCAGGAGCTGGACAGCCCCCGGTCGGCGAGGCTGGAGGACAAACCGAAATCGTGTCCACCATCGTCAACGGTAACGTTACGCAAGTAGTTACCCAAACTCTTAACGATGTTCAACAGACAGAAGCAGCAACCCTCAGCGTGACTGAGACTCAACAACTCGGAGAGACAACAACTACCGAAAATGTCGTTGCTACTGAGACCTCGATTAGGGATGGGCAACAAGATCAGGACAGGGACGATGATCAGGACCGGGATCAAGATCAGGACCGAGATCAAGACCGGGATCAAGACCGGGATCAGGATCAGGATCGGGATCAGGATCAGGATCGGGATGACGACCGGGATAGGCTTCAGGACTTGGAGGGTGACCAGCTGATTCAAACTGAGAATATTACTGCCGCTACCGCGGTTCCAACCAACAGCTTCAACCCTCTTGGTCGACGAGTGTACTAAAGGAAAACATGAAAAAACGATGGCAATATCCCATCAAGGAAAACTGAAGGCGCGAACACTTATGACATGGACGCTAGCTTGATTTTTAAGACGTTATTACCGCCCCTTTTCTTTTCTCTTTTCTTTTATCTTCTTCCCCTTTTTCTGTACTATTTTTACCCTTGGTCCGGTGGGAGTTTTTGATTGATCATCAGGGTGGCGAGCGACTAGGTTGGGAAATATATGCAAATATATAACTTGTAAGCATGTTAGTCAATGTGAAAAATGGTCTTCACAAGCAGTTCTCTCAAAGCATGAGGAAAGGTCTCTGGCGAAAAGGTAGGTTTTGCAGAGGCGGCCCCAATAAATCGACGGTATACATGTAGAAGTATTGGGTAAAAAGTTCGTGCGGGTCCGAAAGGACAGAAGAGTTCATAGCGTATGCTGGAAGCTTCTTCATCGTGCAGTAAGCTCTGTATTATCAATCGAGACCAAGGAAATGCCGTACGAAATTGGAAGTGCACGATATTTGCTAGACGACAGCAACGCGATGCGATTGAAAACCGAAATTTTTGGTCAGAGATGGCCTCCTAGGTTGTTTTGAGAGCAATTGTCCTGCACTCTGTAGGCTCCATGTATTGTCTTGTTGCCACCAAGGCCAATGGGGATGCATCATTCGGGCCGAGAGGTTCATTATGCCTTGGAGTAGATCGATTCAGCAAACAGTCAAGAGAGTTGAACGAGTCCAAAAGAAACTTTTCAAGCGGAATGTATAAAAGAAATTGAACGCACGTCCATCCATTTATTAATAAGTGGATGGACAGAAAGAAAACACAATCACGAACATGATAAAACGCCGATCCTTGCTAATCTTATTACATGCTCAGAGTACAAAATATGGGGAAAAGAGAAAAGTAGAATACTGGGAACAGAACACAGCGATCTATCATATATAAAGAAAGAAACACGCAAAGGAAAAGCTCATAAAACATTACGCTATGCAAAGAGTGCTCGCTGGTAGAAATACAGGAATGAATATATTTGCAACAAATATTAAGCGAATAAAAAAAGAAGAAGATTAAAAAATTGTCTGCTATATCGGCGATGCTGCGCCAGACGGAATGCTCGAGGGCCAGCCGAGCAAGTCAAGGATGCTAACTGATAAGCATGGAAGGAAATCCAATAGGAAGAGGAAAAGATACGTTCCGGTTCCAATGGAACTATTCGCGACGTTGTGATTTGGAAGAGCGTTTCGCGAGTTTCATACAATGAAATTGGCGTAGATGTTCAATCAGATGGTCCTGCCTTGAGAAACCCTGATCGCCTTTTCGGGTACATCGAGGCTTAGGGCAGTCCAACATGACACCGTCGCGGAAATGGACTGAAGTTTGATGACGACTCAAATCGGCCGGGCGACTGAAGCTGGATTCGCAGCCTGGATGGACGCATATGTACCGTGGGCTTGATCTGGGGCACATATTAATATTTATTTCTCACCAGTTCAACAAGGGAACTTACCTCGGCTGTGAATCTTGTCTTGATGATCGAGATGAAGATCGTTTGACCTGCGGACAGCTAGGATCGGCTTCTTGGCTCGAGCGTGCGCCGTGATTTTGATAGCTCATTTGTGAATGTGTGTACGAAGCATTGCTATCTGCGTGGTAGTACGCGGATGATGTGCTTGATGTAGTCTGTCTCGAGCAGTTGCTATCCGATGATACGGAGTAGCTCATGGCAGGTGCTGGTGACCGATCGTAAGATGATATCGACGATCGGGGATACTGTGACATTGCTGGGGAGATATAATCTTGATAGGCCATCGTCGAAGCCGGTACGTCTTGAGAGGCAGGCGACAAGAGCGATCGTGGTTTGTTTTGAGGGTAATGATGTTGCTTATAGGAGTAGGACATGTGTCTCTTGAAGCAAATTTGTCGTATTTCTTAATGGGTAAGACGTGAAGGAAGGATTCGAGGAAGTAGATAATCAGGCTATATACCAGTTGAAAAACTGGGAAAGCTGAAAACAAAGAAACGAGACGGGAAACCGAGAGAGCTATATATGTCTGAGTAACATAGATCTGTTACTCCACGTCTGTGTGTCTGGGCAGAGACAACATGGTCAAGATAGAGATCCATGGATGGCGACCCAGAGGAGGTCGAAGAGCAGGGCTCCAGGCTTCGGAAGAGCCTTCCACGTGACTATTATTTCGGCCCTGCAGGTCCATGGAGGAGACGTAGGGATATGGTATGGTCGAAAGAGCACTAAAGACAGCGAAGAGAAAGTGAAGCAAGAGACAAAGTCCGTCATCCCACGAACAACCAAAAGAGGGTATTAACTCTAAAAGGGTTGGGATGATTACACAAGCAGAGCACGAGAGAGCGAATCTGCGAATGAAGGCTTTCTGCACAGAGTAACAATTCGCACGTGGAGATAAAAGGTCCGGGTACACAGCCCCGCCTTGAATTTGTGCGATGGTCAGACATCCAATGGTAGAGCGGGCAGAAGGAAGCAGTTGGAAACAAAAGACATCAGAAACAACATGGTGACGAGGGGAGAGGGGGATGGGCCGCGCATTTGGCGAGGCTTCGAAAAACAAGTAGGATGAAAGAGCCGGACGCTTTTGATGGGCAGAGGTATAACTAATCGAATGGACAACGATTAGGCAACAGAGAGAGGTAAAGCCTTGCCGGTGGGCAGGTTTCGCCTCATTTCATCGCACGCCGTAGCCGGGAGATCTGGTCTGGGGAAGGGTCTGCATCGGAGCTGACCGGCGAATGCCCGTGCGAGTTATTTTAAAAGAGAGGCCGGGGGAAGTGCATAATGATGGAGTCAGGTACACCGTATTGGCGTCAGAAGTCGGGTGCGAAGCTGGTTGAAACCGGCAGACGCTGCCAGCAACAGAGAAGCAAAGTGGTTGCGGTGTCTGTTGTGGACGCACTGTCGTGAAAACACGCTGCGGTTGACTTGAGCAAATCATGGTTGGCGTTATAGCCAGTCGGAGATAAAAAGAGATGGCACGCAGCCAGGGTGTGCTCACTCGAACTAGCTCCGAGAGAAAGGCTGAAGTCGATCGAAGGGTTTCAACCATGCTGCAGGCGAGCTGTCGTGGAGATCCCAGGGGCCTGTTTCAAGACGGTTCGAGAAGTAATGCTGAGCTGTCAGGCCCGAGCCGAGCGAGAGGACTGGGCAGATGAGCCAGACTGGCTGGCTTTGTCCCCCCCATCGTCGTGCTCGTCGTCGTCGTCGTCGCCGGCTCGGCTTGGGTTGTCTTGGGATGTTGATGCTTTGACGTTGTGCGATGTGGCTCAACACCACTGGCGCATCTCCCGCGCTAGGCCCAACCAGGCAGCTTATGTAATGAACTATGCGCTTATCCCAGTACGGCTAGTATGCAATTAGTTGCTGACTCATCCAGGCTAGCTGCAAACACTGCAAACGCAGCATCGCAGACGAACTGCTTTGAGCCTTCTTGCTTGTTGGCGCCGGTGTGGCTGCCTTCTTCCTGATGCCTGGCGACACTTGCGAAGTGAGGCAAAACTGTTGCCTTGGGCTTTCTACTCTTTCAGCAAGGAGACAGAGTCACCACGGTCGAGCAGAGACCTGGCACCCCCTGAGCAGGTCAGGCGTGCCAAAGCAGAAAAGACAAGGACAATATTTAGCCAATTTGAGAGGTGGAATCTGGCTGGCTTCTGGCTTGATTGGATTGCTGCCTGATTGTTTACAATGCAGGACTGAGACGCGAGAGTTGTGACAAAGCACGCGCCACGCAGCGACTGCTCCTTTAGACTGCTTTGCTATACTATTTGCTCTTCCAATGCCTTGACTTTATACCCTTGCTACATGGTGTCTCCATAATCCACACCCTCTCATGGCCTCGCTACGTTTGGGAGCCCCAGTGGGCCTGGCATCTATGCCCGCCGAGCTCGTCCTCTCTGTTGCCGAAAATCTAACTCGCGAATGTGATATCAACAGCCTTGCGCGCACCAACCGTTACTTCAATGATATTCTTACGTCGCGTCTATACGCCCACAACGTGCACCACAATCAATCCACTGCCCTCTTCTGGGGTATCAAACATCTCGAGAAGGGAACTATAGAAAAGGCTTTAGATGCTGGAGCTGATATTAATGCGCCTGTCAAAAGCTTGGGTAGGAATTCCAACACAACCCACCCCATCCTCTTGGCGGTAGACAGACCACCATACTTCCGCGATCTCGACGAGAGGCTGCCACAAGATCTACGGCAGAAACATCTTTCGATGATACAACTCCTGATTGATAGCGGCGTTGATCTTGAATACAAAGAACAATACCTTGGTCGAACTGCACTCCTCATAGCCGCGTCGTGGGGAGATGATGAAATCATTCGGCTGTTGATTGATAGCGGTGCAAATATAAATGCAGTATGTGACAGCGGGAATACGTTACTCTATTATGCTGCCGGAGCATGCAGTGCAAAGACCATCCACTTCCTAGTCGACATGGGCTTGGACATTAATATGCCAGGTGGATCTCGGACACCGCTGCATATCGCAGCGAATAAGTTGAACGAAGAGGCAACTCGCGCACTCGTTGAACGAGGAGCAGTTGTTGAGCCTCTCAATTACGACACGACACCTTTCATGCTGGCGGCAAACCGCGAAGGCAGCACACCGATTTTGAAATTCCTGCTGAACCATGGGGCCAATATCAACTGGACCGATAGTTTGGGGTGTACCCCATTCCACCGCGCAACCCTGGCGAAGGATTCTTCAGCCATTCTCTTTTTGATTGATAACGGAGCCAAGGTTGACGCGAAACAGCATGACGGGACCACTCCGCTACATAACATGCTCAGCCAAAGGGATTTTAAAGAAAAGTTGCAGCTGACTAAACTCTTGCTGAAACATGGAGCAGACGTTCAAGCTGAAAAATCTACCGGTAGCACTCCTTTACACACCGCAGCTGCCGTCGACGACCTCAAATGCCTTGAATTACTGATTGAACACGGAGCCAACGTTAACAAGCAGGACAAATCTGGCTATACCGCACTCCACATCGTCGCAAACGCAGCGGGATTGCGCAAGGATCTCGCGGCACTCCTACTTGAAAACGGTGCAGACCTGAGGCTAAAGACCAGTTACCGCAGGTTGGCGCTAACTCCCGCCTCCTGGCGGACGAGCAGCGACAACAACTGGATTGAAGAAGCATGGGCTAAGTATGGAAACAAGGATGCAGAGGCCGCAAAGGGAACCAAGGACCAGGCTGTGACTGGCTGCTCCGACAGCTAGAAAGATGGGTATTGCATGGCGTAGCTAGCAAATGATAGAACGACCCGGCAGGTTGCATTCAAGTATTGACCCTCGCAGCTCCGTTTTACCAGGCTTGTTCCTTTATGCGGGTGTTGCCCAATTAAAGTCTGGTTGTTTGCTAGAGAGATCACTGGTTATGTGGCTGCTGGGCCTGTAGTACATTTGAGGGTTACTGCCCAATTCGTAAGAGCCTATAAACACCCCGGATACAGATCGAACACGTTTAATGCAGGAACAGAAATCCCAGAAAACACTGTCCAACCACACCAACCAACGCGGGCGAACGATTGTCCTCTCTGAAACTCATTCTCCGGACCGAATGAGACGGGCCGCGAAGATTCACCCTACGGGCAGAACTTAGGAGCTATTATTGACTCGCATTCTTTGTGAACATGTGGTGGTATATACTGTCGGACACATGGAACCAGGAAAGGAACACCACTCCCAGCAATCTGTGGCTCTAATGGGGGGATCGTCTCGGCTCTGTACATTCCATTAAAAGCCCATATGCAAGAGCAGGCAAAAATGTAGTTTAGCTAAATCACATCGTCATCACGACAAGGGCCAAGTGAAAACCCATCCGGGAACCTATGCAGTGCGCAGATAAAAAAACTAACACCGCATAAAGCAAGACCCAGAAGCCCCCGGATAACTACGAGTCAAAAAGGAAAAAAAAAAAAAGACAAGGGATACGCGTCCGACCTCCGAGTAACGAAGTAGAGCGGGCAGAACAAGACCACCACAACTCCCGCCAGGGCTGTTCAAAAATAACGCAGAGGACGTCCCCGTTTCCCGCCCTTTTGCGCCAAAGGTTTACAAAATCTGAACCGAGCAAAGAAGTTGAAAGATGACCGTTTCCGTTGCCCCCCCCCGTTGTTAAAACACAGTAAATCAGAAAAATAGTGTTTGCCGCGAGATGGACCAACACAAACGGCACCAAGTGTACGCCCCAAAGGCCATTCAAAGGTCGTCTTCAAGGAATTTGTAGACAAACTTGAAATCGGCTTTTCTTCGATTCATCCTATTGCTTGAAATCAGTCACACGGAGCAAATTGACGGAAAGCGAGGTGAAACAAACCATGTGCTCTCATAATCGAAGAATCGATATGTTCCTTGCTCAAACTCCTCTGTAATCGTCTTTGGCTCCTCATGTCTCTGGAACCAGGTTTGGTACTGCTTGTGGAAACGCCAGCTTTGGTTCTTGAGAGCCTTGGCGGCCAGGAACTGCTGGTACGTGGCCTGGCGATAATAGAAAAGGTAAAAGAGGGTGTCTGTTTCAATTCTTTCCGTTCTCATAGAGCCGTGGATCGTCGAAGATAGGCAGCACATCTTGGGGATAATAGAGAGGGGTGTTGTAGGGGGGTTTGGGGCTTGTAGTGGCGAGGCTTCTCGGCATCGGTGGGCTCCGGGCAAGTATTATGCGATGTTACGAGCAATCGTTGAGTGGAACCTGACTGTGGTGCGGCTGCTCTGGACTTTGTAACTTCAAAAGAATGTATCAAGTCCTGCAGTCCAGGTGGAAGGTGATAAACTGATTCTTCTGAGCTCGGCTCTTCTTTGGTTTCGCCATTGGTGATAGGTTGGTCTTTGGGCTGTTGCTGTTGCGGCCGTTGTACTTGCGGTTGTTGCTGCTGCGCAGGTGGCTGCGGCTGCGGCTGCTTCTGCGATGCAGTTTCAGCCTTGGCAATCGCTGGCGTAGGCGGAACAGTGCCCGGTCGACTCGCCGCCACACTACTCAAAGTCGGCGACTTGGACTGGCTGCTCAAATCATCGGTATTAGCAGCATTGGATATCAGTCTTTGAACTGGCTGCACGGGTGCTACTTGGGGTGATGCGGTGGACGGGGGCTTAGAAACCGGTTGAGCGTTGGAGACTGCGGGACTTGCACCGGGCGGAGGCGGCAGAGGCGCTATTCCAACTCCGTTTTTATCGCTCGCAGCAGCAGCCGCCGCAGCTGAGGCATATTTTAATGTCTCTCCAGGCAATCTTGTAGGTGGGGGAGCGGGTTTCATCGTAGGGGCGGGTGTAGACGATTGTCCGTTTAGGTTAAGGGTCGCGAGAGCTGATAAGGGTGATTTCATCTGCGTTGATGACCGTCTCGGAGGGCCCGGATCTTGCTTGCTTCTTCGGGCTTCTGGAGGTTCATCTTCCTGTATCGATTGAGTATCTTGCGAAGACACGCGATCGTTATCTAGACCCATGCCGAACTGTGCCTCATCGTCTCCAAGCTCGATGTCGTCGTATATCGTCTCGTCTTCGCCACAAAAGTCCGAGTTGTGGCCGTCTTCAGCATAGTATTTGATTGCTTCCTTGACATCAAGTACTTGACTTGTCTCCACATTTCCGTTCTGTAAGGATCGAAGTAGTAGCTCAAGTTTCGCGACATGCCACTTATGTCGTTCCGATATTCTGGAAATATCTGATAATCTTGTCGTCTTTGTCACGTCCTTTTTGCCTTTCTTCATTGACGCTTGTATCATCTCCTCCTCCGCTTCCATAGCCTCGATCTTCTGCTGGAGGATATCCACCATCGCTGAGAGAAACTCACAAGTTTCTACTCGCTCTTTCTCCTTGGGATCTAATCTCGCCGCGGCTGATAGACCTTCTTTCGAGTAGGCTTTGGTTTTCATTTCTTTCTCGACGGCTTTGAATTGTTCCATACACTGTACAGTATCCAGTTAGCGTCGCGGCAGGTCATATAGATAGCTTCGTCGAAGAAAGGGTCCCGCACTGTTTCAATAGCCCTCCGCTGTTCAAGCAGCGGACCCTTGTCCTTCACTTCGTTTCCAGCAGCCCATGTTTTGATCTGGTCACGAAAGCGCTGTAGCTTCTTGATCTCTCGCTTTAGGTTATCTTCGAACTTGTCTCTTTGGGCTATGTTGCTCGTGGTCTTGATTTTCTCGTATATGCCTTCGAAGGATTGAATGCCTTCCCCAACCTTTTTGAAGGTCCGGTCGATTTCTTGCTGTGTTTTTCGAGACGTCATGGCTGCTCTTCATACCAGAGCGGATTAAGTAGCGCGAGAGAGAGTTAGCAGTCCAGCCGAGACGGAGAAGAGGTCGCAGGTAATGGAGAGAGGGCCAAACCAGTAGAGGGCGGCCGGTGAGCTGGGTGTGAGAATGGCCACTGCCGGTAATCTTAACCTTCAGTTTTCGGCTCAAATTGGGTGTTTGCAATGAAGAAACTGCATCAGCGTCAAGAGACTCTGCTGGAGGTGTTGCTATCCTGATGCGGCCAAGCAGCCAGGTGCCAAGCCCGTCGAAAAGTGTTCTAAACCCAAAATGGAATCTCTCGGAAAATCAAAAATGCGACGAAAAGCGCGAAGTGAAACCGTGATGGTTGCAGGATGTGAGGAACCAGGAGCGAGATGCTGGGTGGGATTGGGCACGCAGTGTATTAACCAGGTACAGCACCTCAGCTGACAGGCTGTGAACTATCTCTGGCCAGGACTCATATCATTAACTATGTGTTCAGGGGTGCAGGACTTTGCCTCCACTACTTATCACGGGCCGCCCCTTTTGGCCTTGTGGTTGTTACAAAGGGTTGGGCCCTAATATCCAATCAACATGAAAGGTTCGGGTCTCTGTGATACTTTCAAAGCCTATGAACTGACAGAATATGCAGCTATTTTACAGCGGGTTTCCTCCGCTTCAGTCAGTGTTGATAAGAAACTGATCTCCTCCATCGGCCGCGGCGTGCTCGTACTAGCTGCAGTCGGGCCACATGATACGGAGAAGGATGCGGAAGCTCTTGCGGCCAAAGTCCTAAAGCTCAAGATGTGGCCTGATGATTCCGGAGCAAATGTGCGGCCCATGGAATACTTAAACTCTCTCCAATTCGCAGTCTGACCATTCATACAGTGGAAGAAAAGCGTGCAGGACATCCAAGGGGAGGTCCTTTGCGGTTCGTTTTCAACAGCTACCCCGGCGTGAGCCGATTTAACTGATTTTTATAGTGTCGCAATTCACATTATTTGCCAAGGTGAAGAAGGGCAATAAACCCGATTTTCACGGAGCCGCAGACGCTGTAAAGGCTAAAGAGCTCTATGAACATTTCTACTCGAAGGTCGGAGAATCGTATGATCCTGATAGAGTCAAGAATGGAGTGTTCCAGGCGATGATGGAAGTTGGCCTTGTAAACGATGGCCCGGTACGTGATCTATTATCCATCAAATTTGCACTCTTTCAACTCCTCTAGGGCCTGCTACTGATTCGAACCAGGTGACATTGGAACTTGATACCAATACTTCGAAGAAGACAGAATAAACAAATAGACTTGAAGAACTGCCACCACAATGGAACCCTGATGTGCACATAGATACCTAGATATATACACTCGCAGCGACATACATAGAATTCATTATTGTAGATCAAGGGTGTCTTCCATCTCCTTCATGCCTTGTAGCCTGTTGGAAGTAGCCGTAACTCGACAGATGCGGATATTAGGGCTTAGGGCTCAGCAGGACGGCTGGAGGGGCTGTTTGGCGTGTTTGCAGCGCTGGATGCGGGACAGTCCAGCCGCTGATGGAATGTTCCTGAACCTCACTCTCCATTGCCGGCGCTTCAGTTCCATTCTCTGCCAAAACACATCTAGCTTTAAAGAGCTCATAACATTCTTTCTTTACTTGTCAGTTGTTTCACAAACCTTCAACCCCCTCTTGAGGATTCCAACCTTGTCCTTATAGTTCTCGCATTGTTACCGCGCGAACTTGTGCATAATGGCTGATTCTACAGGTAATGCTTCTTAAATATCCTCGAGATTCGGGATATTGTAGATGTTGACAGCTATGCTCAGGTCGCTCAAGGGTTTATTTCGACATCTCAATTGGAAACCGTCCAGAAGGCCGGATTGCGTTCGAATTGGTAAGTCATGTTGACTCTCGTCTACATCGTGGTCAAAAGCTGACTCGTTCGTTGACAGTTCAACGATGGTATGTAGATCTTGCCAGATCGATACTGGACTACGGGCTTTGGGGTAATATACTGAGATTATGGCGCAGTTGTTCCAAAGACAGCGGAGAATTTCCGTGCACTTTGCACTGGAGAAAAGGGCATTGGAAAGCAAGGCAAACTATTGAGTTACAAAGGTAAGACCACCTTTCTAGCGCAATTTTCGCAATTCAAGAAGTAGCTGTTCACAATGATATTGCTTAGGGTCCATTTTCCACCGAATTATCAAGCAATTCATGATTCAGGGTGGTGATTTCACCGAGTTCAACGGTACTGGCGGCGAGTCCATCTACGGCGAGAAGTTTGATGACGAGAACTTCGAGCTTAAGCATGACCGGCCGTTCTTGCTCTCTATGGCCAACTCCGGCCCTGGCACTAATGGAAGTCAATTCTTCGTGACCACTGTTCCAACTCCGCACCTTGACGGAAAACACGTTGTGTTTGGGGAGGTCATCAATGGCCGCAGCATCGTTCGCAAAATCGAATCGCAACGCACAAATCCGAACGATAAACCTCTGGTGGACGTCAAGGTTACAGATTGCGGCGAGCTCACTGGAGACGAATACAAGAACGCTACACAGCGCTTCGTTGATACCACTGGCGATACGTATGAGGACTACCCAGAAGACGTCAACGAGGAGCTTTCTTTGGCCCAGTCCTATAAAATTGCCGTCGATCTCAAGGAGTTTGGAAACAAGGCTTTCAAAAGCGGTGATGTTGAGGTCGGCTTGGAGAAATATCAAAAGGGCCTCCGCTACCTGAACGAAGCGGTGGAGCCATCCGACTCTGATCCGAAAGAACTACCTCCCCAGATGGCTGCGTTGCGTTTCACCTTGAATTCCAACTCCGCGCTTCTTGCCAACAAGCTCAAGCGTTTCACTGACGGTCGCGCCTGGGCCGGTTATGCGATTAACACCGCGAAGGATGCTAGTGCTAAAGATGCTGACAAGGCGAAAGCATACTACCGACGTGCGATTGCCAGCTGTGGGTTGAAAGAGGAGGAAGAAGCGCTCAAGGATCTCGAAGAGGCATTGAAGCTTGCCCCCAACGACGCTGCTATCCTAAATGAAATTTCTCGTGTCAAGAAACATATTGCCGACGAAGACCGCAAGCAGAGAGCCGCCGTGAAGAAATTCTTCTCTTAAATGCAATGGCTTTCCTGGAATCCCTTTTTTCATGGAGATGACCCCCCATCAGCTAAAGTTCACATTACGAGCTTTTCACACTCGAGCAAAGGATATCGGCCCTTTAATCGCTCAACTATTCATTGCGGAGAACGGAGTAGGCGTTTTTACGTTGGGCTTAGGGATTGCACGATATCTAGTGGTTGTTGCCAAGCCGATTGCTTCTCGTAGCAAATGGCACGAGCAAGGCTTTTTACCCAAAATTTCTCGGAACAGCAATGTAAATTTCAGCGATTCAATACTACTGCTTCCATAGATCATAGCAACAACAAAGATTGCAAATTTCCCGCTCCATGCCTCACGCTCTATGATCACTTGTAAACGCACAGCTGCCCATGTCTCTTCTTTGCGCGGGAACCTCGGGCCTGATGTCAAAGTCAAATATATCCATGGGTAAGCCCAACGTTGTACAGGCATTCGGGATATCTACCAGCCCGGCAATATGCCCTTGAACCGGCGCGCAGCTTAACAGGAGATAGACCTGGTAATCGCTATACCCATATCGCCGCAGATACTCGATGCACCGCCGACATGTCTCCCGATATGCCACTGTTGCATCGAGGAAATGTTGCTTGCCGTTATGATCTACGGAGAAACCTTCAAACGTGAGATAACGCCCGGGGCCGAATTGGGGCTCTACAGGACCCGGGATGAAAAGCGGTGACTTCATGTCCATCTGCGCCATGCCGTTCTTGATCACGTTGAATTTTATTGTGATCACCCCGGCCATTTCGATAGCACCGCAAAAGGAAATCTCGCCATCGCCCTGGGAGAAGTGGAGGTCCCCGACCGAGAATTTGGCGCCCGAGACGTGGACGGGGAGATAAACCTTGGAGCCGCGGCTGAGGTTCTTGATGTCACAATTCCCACCGTGCTCAGGGCGGCCCTATTTGTGAAAACTATCAGTTCCAGAAGTAGTTGATTTCCAAATGGGACCAAACTAGCTTCATACCGGGATAGTTCTCGCTCCTTCTTTTCTGATTTTAGCTAAGAGATCTCCAGTTGCAGCACCGGCATATGCATTTCGTGGCTCAGGGAGTTTCGCCACGGCGTCTGTACCGTGCGCCTGAACCAGCTCTGCTTCCCGTTTGTTCCATTGGGCGAGGATTTCTGCGGACGGCGCACAGCCGAGAATCCCAGGGTGGATCAACCCCGCAAACCGAACGCCGGGGATGTGTCTCGAGGAGCAGAAAATACCCTCAAAGTCCCATATGGCTTTGGCACTGATCAGGTCATGTCAGCTACTCACGACGAGTTCTATTGAAGCGGGGATTCTCACGCTTGAGGATAAAAGTCCGACAGGAACCCGCCTCCATTGTCCTTGGCGAATACACCGGTGAATCCCCATGGTTGGTCCTCGAACGGCTGGACGTCTGCGATCTCAACGACGAGGACATCACCAGGCTCTGCAGTCTCAATGTTGAATGGGCCGGTTAGGTAGTGAACGCCGGTCAGATCGACGTCGCGTATGTCGTCTGCGGAGTCATCGTTCTTGATCTGTCCTCCGGTCCAGTCTAGACACTCAATCTTCACCGTCTCTCCGTTCTTGATGGTTGCAACTGCGGGAACTACGGCTCGTTCGTTAGGGGTTTGTATTTAGATAACGGTGGGACGGAAGAGCATACTATCTGGATGCCAACGGTTCTAGATCAAGATGATTATGTAAATATTAGCAAGCTATGAAATCACTGCTTCAAACTATAGATGGGGCATACATGAACACCCTGATGTTCCGATGCAGGCTTGTTGCGGTCAACGCTCATTGCCGTTCGAATTGCCTCTCGACCCATGGTGACAATGATTTGCTTTCTAGACTGCTGCACGAGCAACTGATCAGATACGTGTCGGAGCCGTTAAGAATCGCGACGATGGTAAGCTATGGTCGAGAACCGGAAGATGTATGCAGTTGGGTTCAGCCGGGAAGCCAACCGGCCTTTTTATAGCCTGTCTCCATGGCCGTCTGTTTCTTGAGACTTCAATTCCAAGTCACAGCCCCGCAGCTGATGGAGGGAGAGACCAGGCGTCGGTCGGCGGTACTTTGTCTGTTTGCCGTCCAATCCATGGCTGTTCCCCTCATCTGTGCCAACCCGACTGAGATGCTAGGCTCGTTGTAGCAGGTGGCTAGTTTGCTGAATTGCCGATATGGCGCTGTACTCGTCAGTTTCGTTACCCCCTCGAGCCATTGGTAATTGGGCTCGTCAATGCGTCGAGCATTACTCGAGCCCTCTCTGGGTGGTTATCTGGGGAGTGGTGTTGAGGCAGTCGTGTTTCGGCCTTGAGACTTTATTTCAGTCCCACAATCCAACCTCCAGCCCCTTTTTCTTTTTCTTTCTCTTCTTTTCTCTTCTGTTCATTGCATGCAAGCCTCTCTTCTCTGGGAAATATCTATTTCCTTAAAAAGGATTGAATAACTGACCAGTCGGGCAGTCATTTCCAACAGCCCAATGCTGTTCCAATAGTGCCTACAATCTAACTGCTCAACCCTCGAGCTCTAACATTCGGCTTCATTCAACTATAAAATGCTGCAACAGCTTGCAGTTCCTTGATACCCTGCATTTATTGGTGTTTTTATCAGTGCACCCTTCTCACAGACACAGCTGCATCTGTGTATATCAATGCCATTCCAACAACTGGGCCTTTCTATCGTGATCCATTTTAGAAGCAACGCACAAGAGGCAAAGTCTTTGTCTTTTCGTGAATTGAACTGGGATATTCCTGCTCTCAAGTTGGCCCTCCAGGGGTAATAGCCGCAGATGCGTCCACAAGTTGATGTTTTTGTCTGTGCTTTGGTTCCCATTCTCACTCAATACAAGGAGGGCGCCGACATGGAGCAATTCCAGTTAATACTCAGAATTTGTAGCCCATGCACTGACTGATAGCTCCTCAGTTGAAACCTTCTTCCTAGTTTATGGTTTTCATAACGCATAACTCAAGGCATGCGTGTATTTTGTTTGGACCATTTCCCTACAGAAATGGTAGACCGTCCAATCTGCTCATCTAGCTCTATATGCCTTGGTCTTTGGCCGGCTGTCACTATCAGTTACAAAGGGCATTGTCTCATAACATGTCTGGAAACTTCCATTCTCTCAGAGGGCGAAATTCTGTTAGGCCGCAAAGAAAACTGGATTCCATTATATATTTCCATCCTTCTATTGCTCAGGGCTTAAGTTATCAGCTTCAAAGCACCACCTGGGTTCTTTGCTTTTACCACTACATTCTTTCGGATTATCCTTTAGATTATACTGTTCCCACTAATATAACTTCTCAATTTTATCTTTGGGAGAATAAAGATACCGCGATTTCAAGCCTAAATGTCACTAGCAAACCTCCCGGTCCAAAGAAGGGAAATGGGAGCAACGTTGGACACCTTGCCGGCTGAGCTGCTTATGCAAGTCACCAGCAACGTCAAAGCTCGGAAGGATCTTATAAATCTGTCACAGGGCTCTCGTCGACTATACGATATAATCACTCCCCAAGCGTATCGCTCAATTCACCTGCAAGAGTCTCCTCGCCTTGCATCTGGGTTACTTCGTGCAATTCTACTGAATTCGAATCTGGCGCATTGGATTCGCGATCTCGACGTGTGTCTTTCCACTCCCACCTCCTTGAATCCCTGGGACGAATTTATCGACCCCAGCAAACCGAAACCCGTGTCGATCGATAGTCAAGTCCTTGAACGAGCCGTGGATAATGCAAGCAATTCGGAACAGGAAAAGGCGCAGTGGCTATCCGATTTGGGGCAGGGAAAGTCGGATGCCTATATTGGCTTACTACTAGTATCGCTGGTCAGCTTGGAGCAGCTATGTATAAGAACTGCAGGGGACGAAGTATACTGTCAGAAGGTTATAGAACGGGCATCAATGGGGGAAAAATCGTTTGGCCGGACATCTCCAACATTTCCACGCCTCGTTAGTGCCAGGATCCTTGACATCGGCCGCTCTCGATACTTCACCTCAAATAAATTTGCTGCCTTCCTCCGGTTGCCTTCATTACGCAGCATAAACGCCACCGCAATCTTTGACGACGACAGCCCATGGCGGGGACAAGAGAACTCGACCATCTCGCATATCAGTCTTACAGGTCAAGTTTGTGTCAACGGCTTGCACGGATTCCTTACAAGCTGCAAGAACTTGAAGTCGTTTGTATACGTGCATTGTTATCCCGGTACAGAAGACAGCTTTGGTGCGGGTAAGCTGTATAACTCACTCTTGACAGCCAAAGATACCCTTGAATGTCTCTCCTTTAAATCTTACCAACGTCGCTTAAACAAATACTCGTTCGTGGGGTCCTTTGCTGGTTTCAAGGGACTTAAACAGCTTGAAATACGGGTACATTTCTTGCGTAGCCCGGAGGACGAAGTGACCCTCTATTCCTTGCTCCCTAGCTCGTTGCAAGCTTTGTACATCGATTTCGTGGACTACGATTCCCTTGACTGGGTGTTGAGGCAGATTGGCATATGGGCGGCTATCTGGAGAAAATGCACGCCGCAGCTTACACGGCTCACCATTGCGTGTTCAAGTGTGTTTTCTGAGGACCAGGAGACCAATATTCGACTTCTTTGTGAAGAATGGGCTGAGATGACCGACGGACAGGTGAAAATCTGCTGGTGCGGATATGCCATTTGCACTAATAGTGGTTGCAAATGCAATGCATAGTTAGTTGCTGATTTCACTATAAAAAGGAATTCGTCCCTTGAATGAATTCAGTTGACAGATAGTGATATAAAGCATGAATAAGCAAAAGAGTTAATAATTTCAAATTTAACACCACACTTCAGATAATACTCCGTAAGCATGCTGTAAGCGATTCATTCAGATGTCTTGCGATCTCCCTTTACACTGAAATGCTTGCTCTGATATGATGCTAAGTCTTTGTGAGCACACATAAAAGGTCACCCTGGTCTAATCTCTTCAGCTATGTGATGGTCTATTTATCTCTTATAAAATGATTATTTTCACTCTCCTTTTAGATAAGCTAGTGAAGTTAACAGCTACATCAATACTCTTGGATCAGATCCATGATCTAAAGCACTGAGCTGACGCCCCTGTTTCTACTTCTTCTTCACTTGCAAGTAGGTAACAATGGACATAAGATCAATGGTTTATTTTATAGCCTTTAACTTATATACTCTGTAATCTCAACAATAAGAGAATGTCCAATTGACATTATCCTCTACGGAGTACCCATGAACTATCGCAACCTGACGCGGCAATCCAAACCAATTCTTTCACGGATACCTGCAAAGTCTTGATTTTCCACTTAATTGCTCAATGTATTTCGACGGGAATCCGCTTCCCGGAACCGCGGCAGAGCTGCGCCATTTTGTCTATTCAGAGACGGTGCCGATTTTGCAACACACCCAACATTCTCCCTATATTGTGCCATCAGTCTTCTTTGAATTTGATACCAAGAATGCAGCCAAGTGCGTTGAGGTCAGAAGGACATACCAGAAGTCTCGGTTCCTATTCATGATATTTCGTTAGCAACAATCCCCGAAAAGTCGAATAAAAACTGAACGAGGAACCTACCAAGCCATCCTCGCATTCAGTTGGCTCTGGGAAGCACGGCTTGGTACAGATTGCTGAGTCCTCGTTATCCGCAGGCATCGCGTGAATGCTGACCGCCAGCGCAGTAGCAACAGTAACAAAGAGCGTGGTGAGATGCATGGTTGTTGTTTGGTAGAGAGAGGTTGTTCTCGATGTCAGGTTTAGAATGAATAGTTACTGTTTCAATGGCAATGCCGTCGGATGACACCTCTTTTATATATCAATCCAGCCCAGACCTTTCAAACGTTGAACCGGACAATACGAGTAAGGCGTACGAAGGGCGCAAAAAGGGCCAGTCCAAGACTTCATTCCGAGTCGAGCCATCGAATATTTGAAGCCAGCTGCAGTGACAGCGTCATGCATTCATCCTATGGGCAGAAAGGCCGTTGCTCGCCTCCAATCAATTCGGTTCATATAGTATCCGGCTCCTGTCGCCGCCAAGGACAAAGCTGGCCCTCTCCATCACAGACACCCAGATTATTTCTTCTCCAACTGTCAGTAATCGAATAGAGCAAAGAAACCGCTTGCCTGGAGGTTTGGTTACTCTTCCGAGTGTTTTGGGATCCTTGGCTCGGGCAACGCTGGCGGAAGCGGGCCGCTCGTTTCCGGCGCCGAGAACCAGCTCTGGGCGGGGGGGAACATCCAGGTGCATCGACTGCACGCCTGCGATTGACGCAATACGACTGGGAAACCCAATTGACAACGGAGCCATGGACATTGATGAGGATCCCGTTCCGCTGCCCTCTGCAGAAGTGCGAGAGCTTGGCACAAAGGTTACCCTGCAGCCGCCACTCTCCCGCCGTGGATATGGCCCGGGGCTGGTGGTGATTACTCCCGAATCCCTCCAGCTTGATGAAGCTCAAGTCACATTGGATCCGGGCGCCGCGACAGAAATGGGCAGAAGAAGGATATGCAGTGGCCGAAATCAAGCTGTGCCCAGAGCGTGACGGGTCGTTTCTGGCTAGGGCACTGAAGCTGGCGCTCGACGGCCTGGTTGCCCTGGAGGAGTGCGATGTGAAAGATGCCTTTGGATTGATTTGTATTGAAATCCCTGTCTGCGCCTTGGCCCCCGTATGGGATTTCGAAAATGGCTGATTCTGCAAGTTAGTATACGATTCGGTGCTCTTCCAGCCCAGCGAGATGTCAACTCTGATCTCTTCTCTCGAAGCTCTTCTCATCAATTCCATAGTGACATACGGGTCCCCCATTCATTTTGAAACATCTCAGCTTGTACATTTACCCAGGAAGAATGAAGGGGAATCCTTCGTTGCGCATGCTAATACGAAAATCTACGAGTACCCCGAGGCGAATTCACCACAGTTTGTGATTCCTCAGCACCAGGATTTCCATGCCTCATCAGCAGCTGTCGCGCATACGCGCTCACTAACCTTCTTCAAGTCAAAACTGGGAGGTCCGATTTTTGACCTTGAGGCTATATGGGATGAACATACATATTTTGAGTTCGGGGATCGCTCCGTTGCTAAAACAATGGGAACGATGGTTCAGGAACCATATGTCAACCATGTTCCTACGGTACGATTTTTTCCGTCTATTGTGGTGCGTGAGGAGCCACTTGAACGTTTGAGCTGATAGATGGGTGAATAGATGACTGGGGGAGTCGGCCGTGATCGACTCTCGAAATTCTACCGCTACCATTTCATCTGGAACAACCCGAAAGACACAAAACTTGAGCTGGTTAGCCGTACCGTGGGGATAGACCGCGTAATCGATGAGTTTGTCTTCTGCTTCACTCACAATGAGCAAATCGATTGGCTGTATTACTCACTCCCTGACTCAGCTACATACATGCATGCTTCTCAAGGCTAACTGTTTGGACCACTCACTGGTCCGGTCGTCTCCCACAGTGCGCCAGGAATCCCACCAACGGGCCAAATCGTGCGGCTTCCCATGATCTCCGTGGTGAATGTCCGTGGTGACAGACTATACCATGAACACATCTGGTGGGACCAGGGCTGCCTTTTGCGACAATTAGGCTTGCTGCCAGAGTATCTGCCATTCCCCTACCCTCTAGCTAATGGCAAAAAACCTGCAGAGGGGAAGAGATTCGAGTACAGGGTACCGGTGGCAGGAAACGAAACTGCGGTCAAGTTGATCGATGAAAACGCCGTCGAGTCCAATGAGATGTTCACTTTCGAGGTGAGAGAGGCTGAAGACAGGTGATTCTTTAATAAACTTGATATTGCTTAAGAGCAATGGAGTTCAGAAATCCATCGCTCGCTCTTAACAGAAAGGCTTTTAATAGATAATTTCCTTCTTGCCTTCAGTTTCATGTGATTTTATCAGTGATTGTTCTGCTATTGGCAGTTTCTGATCCCCTGGAACAAAAACATCCGCAGGCCCTTCCCATGCCATCTACCAGCTGATCGAACAATGTTGGTAATCGGAACAATCATAGAAACCCAAAACCCACCTGCTCACCTCAGTTCAGGAATGCTTGGGGTATATCTTCAAGTTTTATAACTGATGACTGCTTCACAGATCTGCAGATTGTGAGTATCAGTCCATATAATGAAACGAATAAAGCTTTTTAAAGTGCCAGAAGAACTGTGCCCAATGCCTGAAGCCCTTCCTATGGAAACCCCTGAAATATAGTGTTTTGACATGCATTAGGATGACAATCCGTTGATACACCTCATTCCCGACTGGTATTCAATGTTCAAGGGATAGTTATTGTAATGCTTGATACCGTTGAAATCAATTTCTCATGGAGCTGTTGTGGTATGTGATAGAAGGGGTCTGCTCACGCGGGTATATCGAACCCGCGTCCATCCTTGCATCATCCCTCGGTCTCGGAATGCCTTCAATGGTTAGTTGGATCCGGTCATTTCTGCTGGTAATGTTGGCCCCTAAGGCCTGGAGCCTTGCCCTGTGAGCTCAAGTGACACAATCACAAGAGTGGTCAAAATAACAGCTCCCACCCTCCTCTTACTCTGAGCTTCCGCTCTGAAAATCCAGTTTGAGCATCGTTGTCTCAACCGGCAAACCTCCATTCGTCCTATTCGTCCCATTCATCCAACTTCCGTGTCTGGCGTTGCTCCATCTTTTTTCGTGTTAATGTCTTGATCTCCTGTAGTTCTACCTCGGTAAGCAGCTGGGTTCGTTTTTCGCTGTCAAGTAGTGCAATTCTTTCCTCCGGCGCCTCATTGCCGCCAAAGAGTTTATGATCCAGATACGGCCAGACGATATCGAGGGCCCAACTTTTCCGCATCCCGTAGCAAAGCCAAAAGTTACCATTATTCCAATTCTCGCGCATTCGATCCGAAAGTCGCTGTGATTCGGATAATACTCCGTTACGAATGGCAATGTCCTCTTGGCGTTTCATGACGCGTAGAAAAATATCCAAACGAGGGTCATACTTGATTTTCCAGTCTGCAATCTCTAAAGTCCAGTCCTCTGGTGTTTTCTAGGAGAAGCACCATGGGAGGTGTACCCGTATACTCACAAGTGCAGCATAAGTGAATTCCCAGTCGATCACAGCA